GGCTCTTTGTTGTGTGTGTGTGTGTGTGTGTGTGTGTAATACCTATGTTTTTAGGATCCTGTAGTTAACTCAAGCTTTTCTTTTTGAAATTAGTTTTAAACAGACAAACAAACTATTAATTAAGAAGACAGTTGGCATCATGATATTTAAATCTAAGGTGAAAAAACATTTATGTTAAAGAAAGAACACAGAAGAAATAATGTTTATTTTCTTCAATGTGAAGTATTCTTAAAATCATCTACTTAAATAGAAACATTTGTCTTCATATTGTTTGTGTTAGTACCAAACATCTATCTATATACATGCAGTATGTGTTTCAACAATAACTGTAGATTAGACAGACACTCAACACGTAATTGGTTTTACATGTTGATCATTACTTCCATTCAACTTATGGTTTTGTAATATATGTAACGAAGAAGGGGAATTTTTTTAGAATATACTGTGATAATGAAAGAAAATTACTTGAGATAAAAAAAAATGTACATTTTTATTATTTACCATAAAGGTGGTTACTTATTGTTTACTTTTAGTCACGTTTTTATATATTAACATTTTGATATACATGTAGATTTATGTATGAAAGAAAATATATGAAGAGAGATATTAAAGTCTTATGGAGAGAGATGTTAAAGTCTTAACCATTTCTCAAGGACTTGATTGGCTGATGATATCAAAATGTAATTTTGTTTTCATATCATAGGAAGCTTTAGAATTATGATGCAAATAAAACTAGACAATACGTTATAAAAAAATATATTAAATGTTCCCACTAATAGTTTGAAAAAAAATATGGTAGATGACATAATCACTACTTATTTAATCTGAAATTTAACAAAAACGCGTAAAAGGTTGTGGTGTTCATAGCAGTGTGGTATATTTATGTACCATGCTTTTCTATCTTGTAATATAGCATGTACTCTCAATTTATCATTTATTCCGTATGTGTACAGATTTCACGTAACACCTATTCAACAAAACCATTAAATACTGCACGTTTTGCAAGGATGTTGACTGCAGTTTCCTTCAATGATAGTTCAGGTGATATTTAGAGGTTACACTTTCATCTATGGTTGAAAGAGGATGACTATTCACGTGGTAGTACTAGTCACTTTGGGTAAATGACACGTTTCTTGCGAACTAGTCTGGTTAAATTATCTTGATAGAACGCTGAAACTGAGATTAGTAGATTGTTGAGAGTGGAAGATGCCAACATAACTAAGATGTTTCTTTTATATGTGCAGAAGCAATGAATACATTTTGGTATCTTTGTTTATGAATTTATCGTGATATTGTAGTGATGAGAAACTATACTCCAAACACGTAAATTGTGTATGTTTTTTTACAATCCAGACTTTGAAGTTAATCTTGATGAAAACCAAAATGTTACCCATAACTAAATGTCTAAGTACAGATTCTCTACGATATTCATCATATGTTCATATATACGTATTTGTATACTGTCCAAAAGTACTTGTATTATTAAAGAGACGGGTGATAACTGAATAGTCTTTTTTACACATACAACAATGGATACCAAAATGAGTTTATGTTATTTTATGGACTAAAACAATTTGCTTTTAACATTTCTGATCAAATTATGTACGTATATATCAACCCAACTTTTTGATTTATTGAAACAAACGGGCCCCTGATACATGAGGCTTAAACAAGAAACAAAAGCATTTTATAAGGATGCCAACATCAATTTTCTTTACCTAGAGACAATGACCTAACTTTGGTATGTGTTGGCAGCTTTTACTATGAATCATCTCCTCTTCAAAAATTTTCATATTGTCTAAAGTAAGAATGCTGAATTTAGACAGTCTGATACATGGATTCAGCCTGATGGGTTGAAGAAGGATGGTCCAGTAAAAGTGATCATCCCATGTAAGTAAAAGTAAGTACACACATTATATGAAGTCTGTCTTAATAAAGCTTGTTTATTTCGTGTTCCAATTTGTTCCCACTCTCTATTTCATTAAATCTTATGACTTAGTTACTCAGAGATATAGCGCTAGTTCGTAAATGGTATCTTGTTACCAAGCAGACCCATCCCATTGTTCTAAACTAAAATTCTTTCAATTTTATCTGAACATACTACAGTTATGCAATGATTCTAATCTATCTTGTGAGAAGGAAGATTTCAAGACTAAACATTGTGTAGCTTGAAGTTAGGACTTTCTGTTGTCTCACATAAGTATGCATTGTGATTTCTGTTCTGAATAGAAATTTTTGTTGATTTTACTAAAAGGTTGTCCAGCTTGTTTTTCTTATTAAAAAAAATACCCAGCTCAAGTATGTTCAATCATAAAAAGTCTCGTAATGTTCCCTGTTCAGATTTTGCAGTTATTAAAGATAATTCTAAATGATACTTGTGAAATTGGTTTGTAACTGAAAATACCTCAAGTAAATAGAAGAAAAACGTGGTGCTATGACAACAGGATTCTCTGGTTATGCAAGATATTATGCATACCAAACTCTACCTTTTTTTTTTTTTTTTTACCATGAAAAGTTTAAACCAAATTTTCCACCAAGAGAATGGTTTCCCTGAACATTGGAGTACTTGCTGGCGAGAGAGTAAGTTCACCTGTCGAAATTCATTCCAGTTTAGAGGCGTCGGATCGAGGATGAGCCCTTTCTTGGATGTTGGACTCGTGCTGATGCTGCAGAAATAAAAAAGTTACATCCGCCAACTCAAGGTGATCTGTACACGTTGGGTGTGCTCAGTCTATATGAGCAGGCCATGACTCAGAAGATCGACCTTGGTGACAGGGGAGCACAGTTGGTTGAAGTCCACTGGAATTAGGAGAAATGATTTAATATTAAATGATTATTTAGTTTTCTTAACAACTGTTAAAATTAATTATATTAAAAGCAATAGTTAGGACAAGTTTTATTATATAAGTCTTTACAAGTCGTAAGTTGTGTGCGAAGTTTAATTGTTGTACCGCCCTCTATTGGTATGTCTGTGGACTTATACTGCTAGAGACCGGGTTTCGATACCCGTTGTGGGCAGAGGACAGATAGCGCTTTGTGCTTAATAACAAACAAACAATTGTTGTACCAGGCTTTTGTAGTATTGTTGACGTCATCTTACTCGAAGCTTCTAAGTTTTTCTCAATATGTATAATATTGTTGTCACTATAGGATTACATATTTCTAGATTGTTCTGTCGCGTGTTATAAATACGTGCAGATACCGAAAGTAATTAAGTTAGTGAAAGAATGTGTGATTGTGAATTTAGCCATAAAGAACGTATAGTGGCGAATTCTTTAAGTGAGTTTCACGGTTTGTATTGTAATAACAGAGATAGATTAGAATAATTTGTCAAAGGGTGTTCTAAAGTAATTGAACTGCCTGTGTAGACTTTGACGGGAAAGAAACAACTATATAAAGTTCTCGATACAACTGTGATAACCAATAGGGTGACGAATTTTTGTACATTAGTTTGTCATGTTTTCAATATATTATTTTAAAATAGGTGGTCTGTGTGCTGTCTGTTTATTGTTAAAATTTATCGCCATCAAGTCACAGACACCTACTGTAAATAAGCTGGCCATCTCCAAACACAGCACAACACTATCTCTATCAAAATCACTGGTGATGAGTCGATAAGAAAGGCTGGACAAGCCATTGATAGATGACATCCACCAGTTAGAGTTTTCATCCCGAGAGATCAGGCAACAAGCATACACAAGAGAGAACTGTGAACCATGGCCTGATACGCCATTGAATCAACACAAGCATCCAATAACTGGAACAGAGCAGGGTTGTACAATGAACCACAAAGGCAGCACGTCAACCTGAAACCACAGATTGTTAGATAACACCTGTTGAGGTAGCAAAGTGCCAGTAAATAGTCTCCATAAAGAGCTGAGAAGATTCACAATCCATCCACCTTGTATCAACCAGGATCAATATGAGAGGAAAAGGCTTTTGGCTGGAACACAAGGCCCAGTAAGTGAGGTAAACAGATAAT